CAGTTTCAATTCAGTGAAATTTATTTTCAAACCAATGTATTCAATTTAAATTATGAACATTCAGATTCAATCTGAACAATTCAGATTCACTTCCTGTTGGCACAAAATTTATCTCGTGTTTCTGTAGAACTCTTTCAGAAACATTTCAAACTTAATAAAAGTTTCTTTTCTCAGCAGGAAAGAGCGAAAAACCAGAAGTAAAGTTTTTTTACGGCAGCTGTAAAACAAAAAGATCCAATAAATAAAGGCCGGTTCAGGACCTGAATAAACGTCCTGACATGTTTACAGCTTGTGTTTGCTCTGCTGTCACTCTGATCCGTTATCGCTGCACTTTGTTCTGCAGAAAACTCTCTGCTCATGTTTGGTTTTCTGTTCAGTTTATCTGCAGCCGAAGAAAACAACGTCTGCTGACGTCTTTCAGCTGCTCAGAGCATCTGCCACCACTTCTGACCACATCCACGAGTTTTCACTTCACCAGACAAACAACAACGAAGAGGCTGAAGAAGCAAAACAAAAATAGCAGAATATAAGCTAAAATTAGCAACAATCAAGATAACAACAGAATACATTTCAAAACAAAAGTTGAAATGAAAAAACTTATCATTTGCTAAACAAAAACCTAAAGTAGCAAAAAAAGGTTAAATAAACTAAATAAAAGTCAGAAACAGCTAAACAAATGCAAATATAAACTAAAGATGAGCTAAAATTAGCAAAACAAAAGCTGAAAATAAATTAACTATAGGCTAAAACAAGCAGAAGTGTAGCTTAAAACTATAGCTGAAAATATATAATTACTGTAGCTAAAATAATCCAAACCTAACAAACCAAAAGCTAAAACAAGCAGTAAAACAGCCAAACTCTATTGCACATTCGCTAAAAGCTAAGACATGCTAATCAAAAATCTAATATTAATAACTAAAAGACTAGCACAACAGTAGCTAAAACTACAAAAAAAGAGTAGCCATAAGCTTGGAACAGTAGCTAAAACTAAGAAAATAGTAGCTTAAATCTCAAAATGAAGCAAGTAGACTAAATTCAAAAATTTATAATAAATGGACTGAGCTCATATCACTTCACACACACACACACACACACACACACAC